AAAAAAACCATTGAAATAACTATATAATTCGTTGTTAGATATATTTATTCATTATTCAAATTAAAAATCTCTAGATAATTGTACATAAAATATTAAATTATTAATATTGAAATTGTATGATAGTCTAATACACTATTCAAAAAATGTAAATCAGCGTCATTGTATAAGAATTTAACAGTTAGTACCTACCAATTATTTTTTTTTCTATTTAAATGTAGCATCAGTTACCTTCTAATGACAACCGAATTTGTAGGTAATACTAAAGCAAGCGCGTATATATATGGAGGAAGTTAGAGGTTTAACCGTCCCCCAATTTCTAGATAGTTATTAAATATGTTTTTATAGAGTGAAAGTGGTTTATAGTTTATATAAGTATGAAAATGCAAAACCTAAAACTCCCCAAAATATTTTTTTATATACGCGTCTGTATCAAGGTATTAAATAGTAACAATCAAGCATCGTAAATTCATCAATTTTTAGAAAGTAAAAAAATATTGTATGTAGAAAATAGAATATAGAATACAACTATAAGATAAAATATTATAAATATACACATAATTTATGCATATTATTTATATTGATTAACTAATTATTACCTGTTTTATTTGCCTATAGTTACTTAAAAATATATTGAGAACAATGAAATTTATCCATTCAGATACACTTTAGTAAATTAATAAAATACTCGTACTATCCAGATTCAAATATTTTTTATATATTGTTCTATATATTGGTGTAATTATCTATGTTTAAATTAATACAATTTTTGCGCTATACGTGATTAGAATATTTTTAACTCAAACTCTGATCTTTAAAAAAAATTAACAAATACATATACAAGTAAGATGCTGTCTAGGATTTCAAACTTAGACCAATCGATTTTAAATTATTACAATCATATAAAAATTCTGTTTAAAAATTGGTTGCTTACATTTAAAAAGAAAAAATGATTTGTTTATATTTTTGTTGTATTATACATTCCCTTTAAAATTAATAAATCATTGAACAAAATAATACTGTTGATATAATATAATGCAATAATTGGTTTATTTATTTATTTATAAAAGCACTCATGAATTCTTAAATACCAAGTATATAATATATATCCTAAGACAATATTTGTTGTAACAAATATTTGAATTTTTTAAATATTTATGTTTTAATAATATAATTTTTACAATTTATTATTTTTAGGATAATAATTCATTCTAAACTCCTTACTCATCGTTCAAATACTTAGTCCATTTCCAACAAATATAACTTTATAAATACTTAATTCATATAGTTAATTATAAATATATTGTTTTTCGATACAAAACTTATCGATGGCCGACTGTACAATCGATATTATTCCAACGTCACATTAGTAGGTCGGACAAGTTTTAAAATACAGTGAAAATAAACACTCGAATGTATTAATTAAAAGGTTCTTTGGTTTATTTTATACCAATTTTGTTTCAATAATTGTTATTTTCTCTTCCTTGTTCCCCTCCAGTCCAACTACGCATATCCTCTCGTAACAGGTATAACGTTAAAAGATACATCACACTATGTTTTGTTTAGTCAAACGATTCACTCCCTCCCAACAAAATTTCACGTCTGGTCAAGAATAACTTTTGATTAAACATATAACTATTATTATTATTCCGATTATTTTTATTACTATTATTATTACGATTGTTACTGCAACAGTGTTTATTAAGTTATAGGTAGTGTTATTTCGCAGCACGTGAGTTCGTACATTACTACGATTTAAATTTTGTTCCGTTCCAGGAACGTGCACTCGTGTGTTGGACAACGCGCAAACGCACCAACATACTCTCATCAGTCATCACCGACGGTCGTCGTCGAGGTCGCCACGGTCTCGTACCTGTCAGCAAGTCAGGTCAGGTCTAGTCAGTTCTTTGCCCGCTACGTTTACTATACGGCCACAGCAAACTCAGGTTAGTGATGTTGAACAATGTGTAGTTATAGATTTTAATTTTTTCTAAATTCCAAAAATAATGTTAACTCCAATTCAAAAACATAGACTGTTAAAAAAAAAAGAAATGCTATAAATTAACAATTCATATTATTTTATAAATATGATATTATAATCTAAAAAAAGGACATTATAATGTATATACTATTTAACAAGTCGTATTGATTATAATAGGCATAGTGGTTTAAAAAATTTAAAAAAACTTATGGTTCTAAAAATTGTTTTAATATTTGAAATATCTATTCCATGACTGGATGTAGAAAAATGTTAAATAGTCAAACATTTAAATTTCTTATTTATATAATTTCACGTTTTTTAAAGTTATATATATCTTTAGACTATAATAATCAATGATTTGTTTTCATAGAATAGCTGGTAAATGGATTTTATTAAATACATTATTGATAAACCATTAAAAAAAAAGTAAATATTCCCAGTAAGAGTATCATTATCAAATTTATTTCAATTTTTCTTCATTAACTAATTATAAATCGAGAAAATAATTCAATTTTAATTAAATGTTCATAAAATTATAAACATTTCATATTTCAGTATTGAGTTATGAATAATACAATCTTAGTAAATAAAGAGTCTATCTAATGGAATGATATAGCCTAAAAGCAGTCTTTATAATATAATAATCTATATTAAAAATCACAATGTACTCATTGTAGGTAACTGCATTTAAATTCATAAATAATTTCAACACGATTGATATTGTTGTGAAATATTATATTATCTTATATTGAAATATTTAGAAATTAATAATATACAGTAGTTGTTATACATAATTATTATTTACTACGTACATTGTAGTTTTTTAAAATAAATGACAATCACACGAAATTAAAAAGTACACACTTGTGTAAAAACTCAAATACACTTTGAGGATAATATACTTAATTGGTATATTTTTCAAATTGCGTGTACTTCAATGGTCAAAAATAATTAACAAAATACAATTATAACCTATCCCTTATCAGAAGATGTTTAGTTGCCTTATTGATAAATAAATACATATTAGTATTACACATTTCACGATTATCAGTGGTTACAATTAACATTGTAGTTTTAGTCAAAGACGCCAGAGTGAGAACTGTTAATCCTCCACCCTTGAATTTCTTCAATGTTTCGAATTTTATCGTTACTATTGATTATAATTCAATTTTAAGCATTGTGTTTTACCATTATATATATGAGTTACGATTATATATTATTTAGTATTTATTATGTAAGTAATTATCAATAGAATACTTATACATAGGTATAAATATGTTAGTATTTATATAGTATTATGTATAATATTTAACAAAACATTTTTATGTGATGTTCATATGCTATTTGTTAAAATGATACCTAATTAATTTTTTTTAAATATTAACCTATGGCATTAGTGATAAATATTAATAGATTCAATTTAAAGATTTTGTATGGTTTAAGAAAAGTACATTTTATTCAAATAAAAATTAAAATGTTGTGCGTATAATTTATCCATCTTTAACGTGATATTTTCAATGTGTATTTTTATTTTCGACATTCGAAATTTACGATAACTTTTGTATTTATTTTTTCATTTCTACGACAAAAACAATTTTGGTAAATTTTCAAATATTTGCACGTAAATTCTATTAACCTCAATAAATTATTTTTTATACATTTATTATTAATGTACCTTTATATACATGTATTTATATAATTTGTTAAAACAAGAGAAATGTCAACACATTATATTCATGTATGATGTAAATATAACTAAATATGCTAATATTTATAACCACATTAAATAAATAAATGCGCATAAAATAGTTGAATTAATTATATAGAATTTATATCGGAACAGCCAAACATAAATAAATATTAACCTTTAAATCTTAATTCTTAAGTAGACAAGTAATGCTGCTGACAATATAAATGTGTGATAGTGCGATTTTAATAATTAATTTCATCGATAGTCTATGTGTTAGAGTTAAAAGAAGGGCAACGAAATTATTGCGATTCGCCCTGATACCATTTTTTTTTTTTTTATATATATATCTTATAACGTATATTTTTATAATACCTACAAAGACAAAAACAATTTTAATTGTATTAGGTCAAAGTTTTTTCAATGACTTCGTAAGGTTGAATGACTTTTAACTACAATTTCTATACGAATATTCAAATTAAAATAAATGTGAAAACTGGTTTTAAAAATTGGTCAAACAAGGTTGTAAGATATATTTGAGCCGTTGCAGTTTAACAATTCTGTCCTCGGTAGTAAATACACGTGACCAAATACTCAAATCACAACGTGGTATAAAATTAATCAACTTAATTAGACTATACTATGAACAGCCTTAAGGTCACCATTAAAGTTCGGTATATGTGACGCAATGTATACTTTATAATGTGTAATTTATTACGCATTTATAACTAAATAGCCTAAATTAAAATATGTGGAATGTTGGAAATACACTAATAAATATAAGGAGGCTGATAAATTGTATAGATGTAAAAATATATAATAATAATTATAAATATATATTTGTATTTAATGTTATTCCATACAAATATAATTACAGAGATAAATGTTTTAATTGTGTTGAAAAATTTAAAACCCCATGGTTAAACATGTGGATTGTTAATTTTAAAATTTAAGTAAATTCTTGCATTACCACATCTGTAGAAAATTACTTTGATGACAATGGATATGGTGTCATGATTTTATGTCTGTATGCATATGTTGGAGGGTACTATTTTAAATGAAATATAGATATATAAATTAAATTATAATATTCATATTTATTATACATCGCAATAAGTTTTCGTACGTATGTTGACAGCATCGAGATGAAATTACATCAGCTATGTATAATACTATGGCCATGGGTTATAGTTACTTGGCAGCCAGCTGTAACCGAAACACTTAACAAAAAGTACTCAGAAATCGAAGCAGCCAAATATCTAGACAACGCTAACCATGTCTTGGCTCAGTGGACGAACCGAGTAATACATTCAGACTGGAACTGGAATACAAACCTGACTGACGAAAATGCTGAAAAAAAGGTACTTTAATTTTATTAAGAGTAAACATATTTTACTATCATTGAGATGTTTTCAGTGACTGGATAGATAATAGTTAGTGAAAGTGCTATAAAATTGGGATTTAAATTAATACAGTAAAAGTGTCTTTAGACACTCTAGATTAATGTTACGTTTTTAATTTTCGGTAAAAACTACGTATAAAATAAATATAAGTGTAAAGATCTTAACGTTGCTTGGATGAAAATGGATTACAATTTAATCAAATTAAATGTCAGTATAATGATTCTATTAATATCTTCATTAAATTTAACTTGTAAGTATACGCTGTCAAATTACTCTTAAATCGCATGTCATTATATAATCTCGTGTTTTATTTTGATTGAATCATACATAACATAAAACTGTTATAATCAGAATTATAATCGAATTTGCTTTATGCTGCGCTTAAAATGTTTTAATTTAATCTTTAGGTTATTTATTTATAAACGTTAGTCTATCACTGAGATCAATCAATAATGTAAAAACCGTTATACCGTTTTTCTTAGTAAAATACATGCCTTGATACTGAAATTGTAAAGTTAAAAAGCACTAACAATATAAATTAACGTAAATTATTTGAATAATGAGTTATATTATTATTTTAATTTTTTTTTCATAGTAAAAATATAACACACACACACACACACACACACACACATATATACATACATATATATATATATACAAATATGTATAATAAGGCATTATTATAAGAACATCTTATGTACTAAAAATTAACTACTTTTGAAATATGTTAAAAAATCAATACATCATTGTTATACAACCAACTCAGTTAAAAGTATACCTAGACACAGAAATTGTAAATTTAAAAAACACCAACAATTTAAATTAATGTAAGTTGTTTGAATAATGAGTCATATTATTATTATATTTTTTTTTCGTAGAATAAAATATAACACATATATATATTTTTATAATTAGTCATTATTATAACATATTATGTACTGAAAATTGAATAATATTAAAAATTAACTAATTTTGAATTAATTAAAAAATAATACATCATTGTACTACTTATATATATTTTAGAATATATTTCCAGAATCTATAAATTAATTTGTTTGTTTATACTTGTACGAATTTTTGCCTGCGGCATTTAACTTAGAAATTGTTTTTGTCAAAAGAAAAGTATACAATTTTTAATTTGCCCTGCCTGCACAATAAAAACTATAAGCAAATAAAATATAGTTAATCTTTCAAGAATTAAATATTATTTATCTGTTTTGATAAACATTATAATTGATGATAATTAATTTGTAACCTATCTTGTGAACGTAAAACTATAATTGCATATTAATATTTATTTTATATACTATATATTAGAAACCCATGTGGTGGGCAGTTCACTTTAAAAAATTGTTATGTTTATAATATGTATTATATATTCAAAACAAACAATTAAAATCACTTTTACATTTTGTTCGAAATTTACTAATGCTAACTACTGCTGTAATGATTTTATCTAACATAATTTAATATAATATGATTTTTAAAACACTCATGGTTTTAAAATTATTATTATTAAACTATAGTATTGATAAAGTAGTAAATTCAATTAAAATAAACGATTTTTATAAAACAATACGTCAATAAAGGCGTCTCGTATAGGCAATTTTGATACATATATGTAAAGATTAAAATAATGAACGAAAAAATAAAATGTGATAAACAGTATTATTCAATACTGGTACATAATATTATTTATTCATTGCTTATATCAAAATGTATTTAAAAAATTGATTTTTTAATAACTATTATGTAAATTTAGTAAATTTCCATTCATAATAATGCTTTACTAATAATTATAATATATATTTTAATAGTTCGCTGTTAACATGGAGTATGGAAAACTGTTAAAAACTATGTGGAAAGAAACCATAAAATATCCTTGGACTACGTACAAAAATCCAGATATTAAAAGACAGTTCAAACTATTATCAGTTTTAGGGACGGCTGCTTTACCTGAAGACAAGTTCAAAAAAGTTAGTTAGTACATATAATTGTAATTCGAATGATTTATTATACAAATCGTTGAAATATTTTTTTAGTTCGATGAAACTGTTTCGGCCATGGAAGGTTTATACGGTAAAGCAACAATACCTGAATATGGTAAAAAGAATTCAAATCGAACCCTAAGTTTAGAGCCAGGTATATATTTTTAACATGTAAACAATTATTATTTTGGTAATTATTTATTTTGATAACTTGATTTATTTTTTCTTCAAGATATTAATGAAATATTCGATAAAAGTTTTGACGTAAATGAACTTAAATATGTTTGGATACAATGGCGAGAGGCCACAGGAAAAAAAATTCGACCTATGTATGCAGACTATGTGAAACTGTCCAACGAAGCAGCAAAATTAAACAGTTAAGTAAAAATATAGATAGCTGTAATTAAAAATAAAAATAATTTTAAATGTCTAAACTATTGTACTATCAGGTTATATATATTCGTTTATTCTCCTATTAAATTGTTATTATGTTGTAGATTATTCAGACAATGCAGAATTTTGGATCAGAGGATACGATGACGACAACTTTCGACCGCAAATGGAACGTTTGTGGGAGCAAATAAAACCTTTATATATACAAATACACGCGTATGTACGCAGAAAAATGTGGGAACAATATGGGAACTCAGTGCTTACTAGAAGAGGACCTATACCAGCGCATTTACTCGGTAAATTTAAATCACCCCTGCCCATTTATGTAATATTTATGAACATCATATGAATATAGGTGACATGTGGGCTCAGTCATGGGGACGGCTAGATCAGTTTACTCGGCCTTATCCAAGTACTGACGAATTAAACCCTACTTCCGCAATGATAAATCAGGTAAACAATATACATAATACAATAATATTCGTTTATTTAACCATTAATTTTAAGAACACTTGTATTTTCATCTACATTATTTTTAATCGATTCATTTTTACTAAATCAGTTTTTTATAAAAATAATAATTTCAATTGGATATTAATAGAGTTAAACGCAATCAATTAGATTTCATTATTTCTTTAAATTTCAGAACTACACTCCAAAAAAAATGTTCAAAGTAGCCGAAGAATTTTTCACGTCATTAAATTTGAGTGCAATGCCACAATCTTTTTGGGAGAAATCCGTATTAGAAAAGCCTCCTGGAAGAGAATTGGTGTGTCACGCGTCGGCTTGGGATTTTTATGACTCCAATGATTTTAGAATCAAACAGTGTACATCAGTAAATTTTATGGATTTTATTACTGCCCACCACGAAATGGGACACATTCAATATTATCTACAATATAAAGACCAACCATTCATATACCGCGAAGGAGCTAATGAAGGTAAAATTAAAAATAAATTATGATTAATATAAACTAAATTTATAGAATAATATGGAATTTTCAAATATCTTTAAACAAAATAGATTATGGTCAATATATACATTTCATTTAATATTTTGTCCAAGAATAGATTTTTAAGTTTTTTATTGAAAATAATCAATAATCAATAGAGCACATAGGGTACATAGGGTGTTTTGCATACTTGTATGACGTATTATAATAGTATCTAATGAAATATATTTTCAGTAAATTAAAACGATTTTTATTTTATAGTCAACTTTTAATGGTATACGTATATAATATATATATACACATATATAAACTTATATATATATATATATATGTATACGTATCCAACGAATGTATTGATTTAATTGTATTAATATTTAAATCGAACATTTCATGATAATAGCTATTGTTTGTATCGAATTGTGTACCTGACAACAGTATCTATAGAATCAATGTAATAATTCCGAAAATCTAGTTGCGAAGTAATTCCCAAAGTTTCCGAATTCTTGTTTAAGAGAGCCTTTTTAAATATAACCTAATGACCAAGAATTAAAAAATATAAATGTACGATATTATACACTAATAAATAATAATATATAGAGTTTTACGCAGTTGACAACAAATATTTAAAATAAAACGTGTTAGATTGTAGATTTTTATGCTTAATATGAAAATAATTTTAAATATAACTAGTTGATGTACCTATAATTATATTTGGTTACGCATAAAAGCGTATCCGTGTTGGGCCTTAGATAATAATTATGATAAAGATAAACAACTTACCAGGTGCGATTATAAAAGCAATAACATACAAGTTTGGTCCGTTTATAAAAATCATAACATACCAATATTCTAATGTTCAATTAATAATTATATAACATGTATTAGAAACTTAAAAAAATCATGCCTGTATTCTAATTTATAGGTAACTGGCAGTTCTAAAATGAGTCTGTAAAAATGAGAAGTGAAATTTTTTTTCGTAAGGACCAACTAGAGTAGTACTTGTAAAATTGTGGGACCCAACTAGTATACTGTTTGAAAAACACTGGGACCTAACTAAATTAAATAAGAGTCTTCGGGATCCAACTAATAAACGTCGACGCATATAATATATATTATGTCATATACAGGTAGTCAGCATAATATAATGCTGTTTATGTATAAATATTTACAACCTAATTAGGTAATCAATAACTTCATATAGTGTACAATAGTCCTATACCGAATTATCTAAGAATAATTCATCTATAATACCCAATGTTAAAATTAATTTAAACTTATGTGTGGGAGTTCTTGATAAGTTAAACAACATATTTTTATTAACCATTAAACATTATTTAGATTTTTATGAGAGTTAACTACATTAACCCAGACATATTCGTACAGTTTAATTCTTACTATATATATTTAAACAGGATTTCATGAAGCAATTGGAGATACGATATCTCTATCTGTGTCCACACCGAAGCACTTACACAAAATTGGTTTACTGCCTAAAACAAGTCGTACATACGAATCTGATATAAATTATTTATACAAAATCGGATTGGATAAAATAGCATTTTTACCGTTTGGGTATTTAATGGATCTATGGAGGTGGAATGTGTTTAAAGGGATAACAACGGAAGACCAGTACAACTGTGACTGGTGGAAACTTAGGTAAGATATAAATTAATACGCATAGCTTTTGATTAATAATTTTTGATTTCCATGTAATTTCATCTGATAATGTGCTTGTTTTAGATATACATACCAAGGAATTGAACCACCAGTAACTAGGACTGAAGACGATTTTGATCCAGGAGCGAAATATCACATAGTTGGAAACGTTCCTTACATTAGATACTTTGTAAGTTATATCATACAATTTCAATTTCATCAAGCATTGTGCGAAAAAGCTGGCCAGTTTGACCCAAATAATCCAAAAAGTAAACCATTGCACGAATGTGATATCTATCAAAGCACAAATGCCGGAAACGCTTTCAAGTGAGACTTCTAGTATTATTATTTACATAATCTATGCTTTAGATTTGTTTTAATAAGCGGAGTGTAAATTATAAATTCAGCATTACTTAATTATTATAGATGCTTTTTAGGGCAAAAGGAGATGTTATAACAAGTTTAACATTTTGTAGTATAATATCTTTACCGATATACAATATTTATACTTTGAGAAAAGATATTTCTATAAATAAATAAATTATGTATTTTTGTTAAATGCTAATTAATTTATACTAACACAAATAAAATATAATATTTATAACTTTTATAATTACATACTATAATATATAGGTAGTTGTTAAATTGTAATACATATAAAAACATTTTTACTAATTTTAACCAATTTTTTTTTTATTACTTAGAAAAATGTTGAAACTAGGATCATCAAAACCATGGTTTGATGCTATGGAATTATTAACTGGCCAAAGAGAAATGGATGCTGGACCATTGTTAAACTATTTCAATCCTTTATATGAATGGCTTCAAAATGAAAATAAAAGGACTGGAGAATATCTTGGTTGGGAGACATCTAAAAAAAGTAATTTGTTTACATAATTTAAGTATTACAGATAAAAACACGTACATTATTCATTTATAAGAATGTAAAATACGTTGATAATTTATTTAGATAACTTATATTTTTTTGTGTATTGATATTCAAAAGCATAATTTTTAAGTTACCTAAATAGATGATGAGTTATTTATCGAATTCATACTGCTATCTTTAAAATATTATTCATGCGTTGAAATCTTTAAATACTCATGATTTTTTAAATAAATAATCTGTAAATTATTTTTTAAAAGTAATTTTTTATTGTAAAAATATATTTATTTTTTCTAGTTTGTGTGAAGTCAGACCCAAGGATTCAATCCTGAATTTAATACGTCAAATTGGCTTACCTAACCTATCTTTTAGTGATCAGCAGTATTATAAATTATAATTATTAATCATATATTTATTACTATTTAATTTATATGAATCCTATGTAATTCATTATTTGGTTATATAATCCTATATTTAGAATTATTAACCACCCATGTCTTGTATGGAAAACTATTACATTTTAATTAAATATTCCAAGTATCATACTTATTATATAATATAATAATAGCCTCATGTTAATAAATGTAATAATAATATAAGAACCTAGAATTATATGAAAAATACTAAAGATCCGTCTACAAAGTGTAAATTTACACTTTATGGTACTTTTTGATAGTTTAACACATTTACCCAACTTTCTTTGAAGGTATATATTATTGTATTATACTAATTAGTATGAAAAAAAAAAATTTAAAACTGTTAAATGTACTACACAAAGAATGATCTATTTGAATAAATAGTCATTAATTAATAGTAAAATATGTTTTTATTTTTAACATTGAAAAATGTATTGTATCAATTAGAATGTATATTTAATTGAATTTATTACCCTACTATTGCGCAGATACATGCTCAAAATAGAATAATAAAAATGCATGCTTCATTTTTTAGGTTTACTGATAATTATAGAATAATAATATATTTAATAAATCAGTTATGACTGAAAAATATATTAAAAAACCATTTAAAATAATACAATACATTAAGGACGAAAATAAAAGCACTTTTAAGCTAACGATTTAATCTTGAAAAAGGTTTTACAAAGCATATTCTCTGTATGAAAAATCATGTCATTCTTAGCTAAAAATAAAGGCTTCGAGAGCCGCGTGTTGGACCATCCTGATTTACCTCATCATTGTTTCCGTCGCGGTGTGCCACCAAAATAAATAATTTAAATCTGTATGTTTATTATTTTCAATTTATTTGTATTATGAAAAACTTAAACAAATGAAATAATAAGCTCTATTGTAGATTTAGTGGTTTCTATTTCCCATCACTTCAATCTTCATTTATATTAAACTATTTTTAACTATTTTTCTTATGCGAGAATATAAGGTTCAATATGGCGATTTTTTTTTTGTCATTCAAATTTTTTTTGAATTCCTGATGTTTAAAGTGAATAAACTCAATTCAATTGTCATGAATATAATATGTATAAAATAGACGGTGATTCAAGTGTTTGCTAGTACGTTGGCAACCAAATGTTAATTCTTGTTGGTCTGATGTATGCGCAATATTCTATAACATGAGCCAGCACATTTAGTGCTATGTGATATAGATGTATTTCTAGATGTCTGATGCTAGGTGCTATGGAGGAACTATAAAGACCAGGGGTCGAGAACCGGCGGCTCCTTAACATACAATCTGTGACTCTGGAAAATTCATCAATATCGAGACCAGTAACATTTAAATTATATTATACGTCAGTATAGTGATAATATTTCTGGGTTTCTTAATAACGATGTTTATTTCAGGTAGAAATACAATTTTATCTATAATGACCCCAAATAATTTATAATTAATTTCTATACATTTTTCACCGTATTAAAACATGAAAATATTGTAGTGAATTATTTTTAATAGCTTAGCGGACCATGTAGGTCCATTATTTTACTTCATCGAGTCCTATCATTCGCTTCCATTTTTATGTTTACATGAATTATTTTTAAATCTTTTACTATTACTTCTTTCCATCTTGTTTCTTGTTTCAGAAATATTTTAGAAATAAAAGTAATTGGGATCGCGTTAGTTATGTGCTCAAAAAATATTATAAACATTTTTAATCGTTCAAACAAATTACTAATGTTCAACAAATGTTGACAAAAAACAAAAAAAACTTAATAAATTTGACATTAATCATTCAATATCAATCATTTTCTTCAGTACATATCCCATTAACTTAACTATTGTTTTTAAAATCCAAATAAGTTAAAATCTGTTTTTTTTTTTTAATAAACATTCCTTTAGTACTCGTATAATGATTGGCAAGATTAAAGAAGGGGGACTCTATTTACTTAAAAAAAAAAAAAACGTCCCCAAAACTGGCTGAGCGTTATGATTATAGCGTAATAATAGTAGGAGGACGCTAAAATTTCTGAAAATTAGTTGGGGTACTTCGTCCCCTTGCTTCCCCCTCAAGTCGAGCACTGAACAAGTGTACACCAAAGCGTTTGTTTTGAAAAAGTGTAGTATTAAGGCGCGTCCAGACAAAGCAGCTTTTACCGCGCGGCATGAGTGTGAATACATGAATACGTTTTCCTCGGCTTTTTTTGATACCACGCAGCATAATTTTCGATCGGCCTAGTAGGCAGTCTACATCAAAAGAAAGCAGCGTGGCTTGTGTCGCTCGCCTATGCCGCGTATGTGTGGACGTATTTTTGGCAAAGCCGCACGGCATCAGCACTTATTTTTCAAGTAGGTATTTAAATTATTTTTTAAGTACTTAGTAACAGAACAAATTTTTTTCACCTAGGTAAAACTGATTTTTGTAGTAATCTTCAGAAAACACAATTTTTATTCTATCAAAATGTCGATATTGAAGATTCTCTGTTTTTAAAAATACAAAGATCAATAATGATTTTTCAAAAATCTTTAATTTCATGTTTTTTAAGATTCAAAAATATAGATTACTTGCTGATCTCGTGTACTTCGTTGCCCATTAAAAATGACACAACTCTATGGTATTTATGAATAATATATTATTATTATTATTAAAACTTTAAAACAAATCGGAAATAAATGCCGCACCCAGGGGCGGATCCAGAGTCAGGTAACTGTGGGTCAAGCCATTTCAAGAGGCCATTTATTAGGGATGAAACTGTATTAGAAATGAATACCTTGTAAAAAAAAAAAAAAAAAACAATATGCTCATAAAAGTGTATAAGTATATTTATATTACATTTTAGAATTAGTGATACCACCGATAATGACTTATTTATGATTAATAAATATAATCTAATTTTATCAGCGCAACAAACGTACGGAATAAAATATGATTTACTTAACTTTCTACTAAAACGATATAATTTAAAATATAAATTATTAATTGAAATTTTCAATTAACTCCGATGGGCCAACTGTCCAAGAGTCCAAATCAAGGTCTAAAAAGAGAAAAAAATTTCCAAGAGGCTAATTTTGTCAACAAATATTAACTGTGGGTCAGATGACCCCCTGAACCCCTCCTAGATCCGCCACTGGCGCAACATGTGGACATGGATTTGCCGCGTGGCACGGTGCCGATGGAGGCCGTACGGCAAAAGCTGCTCCGTCTGGACGTGCCTTTACACGCTGTTTGTTTTAAAAAAGTGTAACATTAGTGTACACTTTTTTTACACTGACTCAAGTGTAAGTGTAGGCACAGCGTTTATAGTGTAGCGTTGATCATTATCAAATTAAACCTTATCAGCTAATAGTTTAATCTGCAATTTCAAATAAATGTCAAAACACGACTCACCTAATACTGACTATTATAATCGTTTATAGTATTTGGACTCACGAACAATGGTTTAAGTGGTTTAACCCTTCTTATTTAAGGTAAGATTATGCGTCCTCTTTAATTTAAGTCGCCAAAAGTCCGGGTGGACGCTTAATGGCATTAGTCATTAAAATACAATATTGAATATACAATACTTATTAAAATATTACATGAAATTTATTTTTTAAATTAATTTGAACAAGTGGAAAAAAGAAATAATACGTAGTTATAATATATAAAGTATTATTATTTTACAGTAATAATGTATTTCAATTTATTTTTACTGAGCAGACATATGTATAGAATTATTTTTCTTTAGGGGAAATTTGTTTCTACACCCTATGAAAATAAACTTTTTATGAACATATATGTGTAACAAAAGAGGCTTAGACCTCATGGGTTTCCTAAAAAAATGTTGGTAAGATTTAAATTTAGGTAGGGGAACGTTCTTCAATTTTTGATGCATACAGTCCCCCGACAACATTTTTCCCACTTTAACCACTGCTCACGAATACTGTGGTTGAGTTATAAAAATAATAAAATTTATATAATATATGATATTTTTGTATTATATTATTATATATATTATTTTATTATATATATATATATTTAATTATAAATAATATATAAAAATAATTTAAGCAACCATCATCGTTGGTAATCGTTTACATATACAGCTGCTGGGATTTTGATAGGATTCCACAACTCTAACATTTCGTCATCGGAAGAGTCACAAAACTCCATTACGTGCAATTTTTGTATTTCTATTTCTTTTAATATTATAATTTTTTAATTATTAATATTAAATATTATACAAAAAGTTTACTAAACTATTTGTCAATTCTACTACCAATAAAAATAAATTATTATCAATTATTACAATTGATATAAAAGATCAGTTGATTAATTTCATAGACATAATATTATGTCTATGATTAATTTACATCAAAGCCGTTTGTCTTGAAGACGGGTATCTGATCACACCTCTTATATTTCATCCAGACACTACACTAATTAGTGTACACTTTTTTTTTCCTAAACGAACAAACCTAACGAATTAAATTTAAATAATAAACGATTAAAATGTAACTTGACTGATTAAAAAACTAACTAAACAGAGTTTTATTTTATAGAAGACAAAATTTCTCAGTATACATTTTTCGAAAATTTACTATTGGTATGAAATCATTTATTTATTCATTTATACGCTGGAAAACTAAACGAGAATTGGGATTTTATTTACACTTAGGAGGTTGGCATTATCTTTTTTTTTGTTCTCATCACGTTCGCTGTTATCAATTGTTATCAAAAATCGGGAGAACTGTACCCGTCCCTAATTTTGGCCATATTATATGTTATCAGAGTCGGTCAGTCACTCATTGCCATTATTTATTATTTATATTTGTGTTCACTGTTAAGTTGTTTACATCCATAAAAACGTTGGGTTACAAATAATTATTCTGTGGTGTTAATATCTAGTCTTAGTTTCTCTTTAATTTTCTTAACAATTTTTTGATGTTAAATATCTTCAACCTTTTTCGGAAATTGATTTTTACTGACAATATACCTGCGCAGTCAATCAAAATGGTAAAATACTTAAAACAAGACGAAGCCATAAACATAGATCAAGAGCTGTTTGATGTTTATAAATTCAGTGTTGATCAGTTAATGGAACTGGCAGGTTTGAGTTGTGCGACAGCTATACACAAGTGCTTCCCACCCAATGATTATAAGAAAGTGCTTGTGATTTGTGGACCCGGTAATAATGGTGGTGATGGTTTGGTATGTGCTAGACATATGCAACTGTTTGGTTATTCATCCGAAGTGTATTATCCGGTGCAAACTAACAAACCTTTATACTGTAATCTAGTACATCAATGTATCAATTCTAATGTGACTGTGTTCAATTCATTGCCTGAAAGTATAATTGGATATGATATATTAGTGGATGCATTATTTGGTTTTAGTTTCAAGCCACCTGTACGACCAACATTTTTGAATATTATGGATATTTTAAAAACCACCAATAAACCTATATGTAGTATAGACATTCCCAGTGGATGGAGTATTGAAGGTGTGCCTGAAAGTGATGGGATAAAACCAGAATTATTAATTTCTTTGACAGCACCAAAAGAATGTGCCAGAAGCTTCAAAGGAAAATATCATTATTTAGGTGGAAGATTTGTTCCCAAAGCATTGGAAAATAAATACCAATTAGAATTACCTCCATACCCCAATGCAGAATGCTGTGTACAATTATAAAACTATTTTACTTTGGTGTAACCAATAGAAAGATTTTTAAATTTTCATAAATTTATTTTTTGTAAATTTCTGATGATAAATGTATGAACCTTATATATTTAATATTGAATTAAAAATAGTTTATGTTTAGAATTTTAGTAAAAAAGTCTTTGTGTCAAGTACAATATAAATTATATATATTTAAATAAAAAACTCAATTAAATCAGGATATTGCATTTAGTATTTGTTAGATGTGTTATTATAGTACTATTAATTAATAACACATTATAATATAATTTTTTTTATATTACAATATTATTTTAAAATAAAAGTAAAATATTTTTACTACAATGAAGTCAAATTTTTTAAAAATTTTCATTTCCTTATTCTTGAAAATCAGTAACTAAGTTGTATTTTTAAATATTTTCACAACTGCTAAAATACTATTCACATAATAATTATAATTTTAATTATTTTTGTAGTAAAAAATAACTTATTCATAACTTTGTACTTTTAGTTAGCTTTGGTAAAAATTATGAAATATATATTTTGTTATCTTTTAATGTGTTAATGTTAATGTTCCGTGTTTAAATGATAAAATATTTTTAAGTAACTTCTATGGAAACATCTTGACTCACATTTAAAATTATCAATATTACAATAAATATTCAATATAAGCAGGAACATAAAAATAATTTCAATTCACAAATTTTAAGGAAAGTAACTATACTTAGTTTGTAAGTTGAGAAATTACACAATTTAAATATCAATATTTCAGTCAAATATTTTGTCCAATTAATTAATTACTCATAAAGATGGCTAATTCATGAACTATATAATAATATGATCAAAGCATATTGTATGATATTGATAATAATAAAAATAATACAAACACTAACTTTTAAAAGAAAGATTTTCTTAATAAAATTATAAAAATAATCCTTTTGATTAAGTTTTTTTTTTTTTTATTTTTTTTTTTATTAAGAAAGACAATTTACAATTTGTATACAATAATAACAATAAGCAAATTTGATATATTTACATAGAATAAAGTAGCATGAATATCATGTTGAGGAAGAAACCCAATGGTAACACCTCCAATACTAATTTAATAGGTCTCTACACCATTTACGCTTCAGTCTGCGTGGTGGGTTTTTTGGAAGGGTGATGGTGGACATGTCTGATATTAGAGTATTGCTATGTGTGTTTAGATTTTGGTGGAAACGTTTGTACATGTTTTTTGCTAGTTCAGTGGTAGTTGTTATTTTTAAATCATTATGTAAGGATAAGATTAAAAGTTATCAATAATTATATGTTCAAAATAATAAAAACATTTCAAATATATAATTAACTATATATTTAATAGTAGTAACATCAATATTTTTTTTTTTAATTAAAGCCTTAGCAACTATGGCATTGACTGACAGTAGTTGACAGCCTATTTTATAGTCATCTCGGAAAAACTCTTAGTCTTGGCAGCTTACCATGTTCAACAGTGTTTAACCGTAGCATTAATCAGTGATTGAAGCAAACCAACGTCACACTTTAATATACCTCAACATATGGAATGCATTTATTCAAGAATTTAGAATCATTGTTGATATATTGACATTAAGTTCTATATTATTTTTCAGATGTAACTAAAACAAAAATTTAAAAATCATGTTTTTAAAGTTCCTAAAATATATAAATAGTCAATATAAAAATTATTTAACCTCATCTACTTGATTATTAAATGAAGCTTTAGATAATTCTGCTTTATCATCAAGCACAGTTAGAGAATAATGATTGCATTCTTTTATTGTTTTCTGATTATCATCATGAAGCAAAATAATAGTTAAATTTGATATTGGATAGTGATTATTTTTGCAATTTAATCCTGAACACATAGATCTTAAAATATACCTAAAATAATTTTAAAAAATTTAACTATAATATTAATGTTAAAATGTGTGCTCATACTTTCTAAGTAACGGTAGCTGAATGCTTATAACACACTGATGGATTTTTGGAAACTCATTGTATGTTTTTAATAACAATCCAAAATATCCATTCATTATACTTAATGATAACTGCACTGCTTTTTGTATTAAAATATTTCTAAAGCACAAATTAACTTAATTATTAGTTATATAAATAATCATAGTAAAATATAGATAAAGTAATATGCTTATTATGTATTCAATAGAATAATAATTTAATAATCAAATATATGTTAATAAGTTATATTGATAACATTGGTAATAATAATAATTTAAATTATTCATGCATACAAAATAGTACTGTAATCTCTGCAAAAAATAATTTTAATACAAATAAACTTACTTTTTTGATATAAACGGTAAAGCTTGTTGAAGAACATTATAGTCACCTAAATTGGCTGTAATCAGAAGAGATACCATTTCAGAACTAAGTTCATCAGTTAATTCATTGGATTCAGTTAATAATATTTTAATCAATTTAAAAATACACTCATGAAAATGTTTCATGTTTAAAAATGGATCAAATGTATTTACATCATATTCATAGCATCTAAGAAAAAGAAATAATAATTTTGTTATGAACATGTTTTATCATACAATATTTATTATTTTAATTTTAGAATAGATATGAGCTGAGCCCTTTTAATACAGGTAGCAAATAAGAATAACAGGTATAATATAACATATGTGACCATAAAAAAATACAGCTTTATGCTGCAGTAGTCATCTTTATTTATATTAATTAATAAACAATGGTTTATTATGACATAAAAAAAAATCTGAATTTAGTTCACTGTAACATACAATAAAACATCAATACTTGGAAAAATTGTTATTTTTATTATTAAACCTTAGTTTTTTAATTTAATTCATGATAACAATACTGTATTTATATAATATTTTGTATTCAATACATATTATTTTAAAAAGCCTTTAATTCTAATAAATAAAAAATTTAAAAAATAACAATAATTTTACTGTACTTCAATTTTGAAAACCTCCAAAAAAAGTTGGATAAAATATTTTGGTTTATCAATCAAAAGTAAAATTATAATTATTAGATTTATATAAAGCAATGTCACAAAACAAAAAAATTATATTTTAAACATAAATAAATAAAGAGTTGCTGGGAATAAGAATTTTGGTAATTATTTTTTCTTACATTTTAAAAACTAATTAGAAAAATAAACAATTAACAATCTAAAAAAAATCTGACTTAATATGAAACATATTATGTGTTTAATTTTTGATCTAATAATCATTTTCATAAACTTTAGATTTATATATATATATATTTACTACTCAGAAGTTTTCACAGAAAAAAAAAATGTAATTGTAAGACTAATATATCCCTTATATCAAAACAAAATATGATTACATTAAAACTTTTAACAGTCTCTCATTTTTTAGAATTTTAGGCTATAAAATCTATATGTTTAGTACTTGCACTAACTTACTTATAAGCTGCATATGCATGAAATCGAATAATAGGTGGTAAAATAGCAATCCAATCCTGATTAGACACTTCTTGTATTGTTGCATCTTGCCTTACAGCATTTAAACGATCATCAATAAAATCGTACACAATATTAAATGTTACAGTTGTAATTTTGAGTACACTAAAATCATAAAAAAAATTATAAATAATAATTAAAAAACTTTGCTACCAATTGTTCAATTTACTCTTTAATAAGATATGAAATAGTATCTATCAAGACTGATGGAGGTCTTAAAAGATGTGGTTTGTCTAATAAACAACCTGCAGCCGAACGACTAAAACATTTTACCATTTTTTGTGGATCATTTTCCAACAGATGTATGGAATGTTGATGTTTTCGCCTAGACAAACCAAGATCAAGTATATGTGATTATGAACTTGTATCATGTTCAGTATCAAGTATTAGATATACCCACAAGGTAATCTCCTCCTTGGGACACATTTGCATGCACTTCCCTTTCACAGGTGACATTATTAATTAGCTTTTTTTTTAGACAATAATTTTTTAACTGTAGTCTTCTGTACGGCCATAGTCTAATAATAAAATTATATCACATAAAAATAGAATAGTAAAATCTTTAATCACAGTCCATGTGGTCTAATCACAGAACTTCTGTGATATAATGCTTTGCTGTTATCAAAGTTAAATCAAAATATCGTAATGATAACAATTTCACAAGTTCATGGGTAATACATGATTAGTATACATAGTAATATATAACCAATATACTTTTCTATCCAAAATTATTATAGAAATCATACAATGTAAATCTAATATTTCTATTCATTGTCTTGTTGAAACTTGATAAAATTACTTATTTATTTCACTTTATTTCATATTTTACTGTTTACGTATATGTTAACGTTCATGTTAACGAAAAAGAAATCTATTCCAATGAAATGTTGACGTCACAACTTGGTAGGTATTTATGGTTATTTTTTCATAAATATTAAGAGTGTACATAAAGTTTACGTAAAACATGCTATAACATATAGATATAAGTTGTATGTTATAAGACATTTTCAACACTACCATCTTTGTTCATTGATCGATTTTTCATTTTTACTTGTGTTGAAAATATATATGAGTAGTTAGATACATAACTCCAAGTCCAACTTTTTGATTTTAATTAATATAAATTAAAGTTGGTATTTTGTTGTAAACTTGTAACAAATTTCACTCTAACATTAATGTGTGTAGAAACAATGTGCTTAAGTATATAACGACTTTTTTCCTACGTTATATTTCGATTTTCGACGATAATTTTTATAAAACTCAATACCGTGTTGTTTGATGTTTTTCTCGATACTCAACGATCATCAATCCAATTCGGGAACTAAATGTAAAAGTGTATAGAAGCCGGTTGGCCGTCGATCGATTGAAAGTTCCTACACCCCATTTTTCCGACTAAAAAGATTTATTTTGTTTAAACTTTTCGAGAAAATGTTTGGGTAGAGACGGTCCTGAACTTTTGTCATTTTCTTATCAATCGTATATTTGTACCCAACAGGTTTGAAAACAAAAAATCGAAATAGCCAATAGTGTGAAGAGTACAGATAAAGCGTTGCATTGTCCTTTTAAATATTATAAAATCAATATTATTCCAAACAGTATTATCTTCAATCTGACATTCAGCCTTAACGGTAAAATGTGCTCACCGTTCACAACTGATGCACTGGTACAGTCCTGTTACCAGTTTTCATATGTTCACGCTCAACCATCTCCTACCCAGCTAAACCAAATCCGTATCAAAGCGTGCACACAACTGCTCAAGTTGGTTACTTGGTTAATGGTCAACAAATTACCGATGTTAGATATTATTTTTATTCCGACTTCAAGTATAATATTATTTACTACCAGCTCGTTGCATGTGTATGCAATATGCAATTAGGTTTAATATTTTTAGTTATAGTATATTTTTTTCTACGTCGCTCAGTACTTGGTTGAAATAAAATAAAACATATAAATGCACTACACACACCTTTTCGTAACACGGAAAACACTACACGTATTTTAGTGATGTATTGTAAATTTAAAAGTAAAATTCTATATTTTAATTAATAATAATTAATTGCTGAAACTTAATCGATTGAAAATTTAATATGTACAATGTAAATATGTAAATATTATACATATCACATAAGTACAAATTGTGTATAGGATATGTCAAAAATGAATGCCAAAATTACATTTAAGTATGCGTGATGAAGTTGTATTAAAATTATTATTATATGTATAAAATTGTATATATTATATTATAAACATGCTGTGTTGTTTTGTGTGTTGATAGTCGTGATTTTTGTATTCTTTTAAGTTTCTAGAATATTTGAAAAATACATTGCAAACTTATTTTTGACATCAACTCCCTGCCAACAATAATAATATTACATCCTTAATTTACTATTTTAAGTAAACTTAAGTGCGTTAAAATCGATTTTCATAATTAATTTGTATTACATCTAAAAAAAGGCAATTTTCTGCACGTATTTCTTGTGGTTTAACAAAACGATTTTAAATAACATCATATATTACCTTTGTATCATCATTTTTATTTTGTTTTCAAATATTCAAATCGACTAATCGATAAAACTCAACTTTACGGATTTGGTCCAAATACTTAGATAGATAATTACGTGAAACTTATGTACTCGTAGTATTGATGGAATCGAGATTAGCCACGCATAATTCAAATTGGCTACGTATTTTTTTATATTTTTTAAAGTTTTATTTAATCAGACACGTAATTTAGAGGGAGGTGTTGGAGCGATTAACCCCCTCTCCCTAAAGATCATGTTGTAGTAATTACGAATTCAGATTTACGATCTATTGGTACTACTATTGCCAGTGGCGTATCCAGAATTTTTTTTTTTTTTTTTTGGGAGGGTTAGAAAAAATGTAACATTACATTATTTTGAATTTTGTGTGTTAAAATACGATAATGTATAATGTTATGTAGGTAGGTGGTTAGCGCGGGACGGACGAGCGGAGTTGTAAAGAGTTGCCTCGCGCGGTCTACTGACATCATGGCGCGCGTCACGGTCCGAAAAACGTATACTTTTTATTTGATCGTTGTTATTATTTTTTCACTTCACGACTTCTCTCCTTGTCAAAGAGAATGATGGCCACCGTCTTCGCCGTTCACTCGCGAGCGCGCTCGCGCACCGCACGAACGGTATTTTCTGTAGTTGTTTTGTTCAGTCATCGCAAACGGCACCGGTCTCGACCACGTGTTGATCACTCGATAATGTACATGCATGTACAATAACATAACTATTGTGACGATCTTGCATCGGTTAAAATACACGTATTTTTCATACATACATATATAAAACGCCACACGATTCGATTGTTTTTTTTTCTGCGTTACGTTCGTGTTCTCGTTTCTTCGTTTTCTTAATCCGTATTTATTGTTTACGATCGCACAGTAATATTATCTTTTCATATACACGCACGTACCACCGCTACTTTTTACGCTATTCCGTTTTCAGTTGCTCCGCCGAGACATCTGACCTGCCAAGCAGATAGTAACGTCTCCGTCGCGAGTTCGTCGTTACCGATCGACGGTTGCGGCGGAAGCTGCAGTAGTCACAATGGCAAGCAAACCAGCGACGGACGACGGACTTCACCGTCATTATCGAGACGTGTTTCCACCGGCTGCTGATATGCCTATCTCGTACTTGGGACTGGATTTCAGCACACAACAGGTGGGTATAATTGCTTTTGACGCAACAACAAACCGACCGTTGTGTACATAATTCTCGATAGAAACGATTATAGTTATTATTGTGTAAAAATAATAGGTATTATTTTTATGCTTCATTGCTACTATAAGCTACTGTTGTGTACGCTGGTAAAGAACATTCTGTTTACTCGTGTGCGTTTATATTTTGAAAAATAATCTACAAAGTTATTTCGCGTGCGGTTTGACCTCAACTTCTAAACCGTTTTCCAATCAACATTAATTATATATTATTTTACATACGCTTGTGTTCTACGCACACGCACATTATTTAGGTACTATTATACTTCGGCATATTTTTGGTACATTTGTTTTCTTGAATTACCCAGTTGGTGTTTAGAATGCGTTCTATTTGTGATATGTAATTTTAATTTATTCCATTTAGCAATATAAGTGAACATAACAAATAAAAAATAACTTAAGCTATTAAAAAGCTTTACGTGTGTGTGCACAAAGTGCATAATGCGTGTGTATTGAGAATAAGTACTCATGACATGAATCATTATACTTTGCACAGTATTTTATGAACAAATTAGCTGGTAATTGGTAGTTTTAGCATGTTATTATATGAAACATTCGTAAAATCTGTGATGTATAATATGAGTATTCATGCTCTATAGAAACGTTGTTTCTGCAACAATTTTAACCATTTAGGTGCGGCTCACAACCGTAGGCGACAAAAATATTTATGTACCTATTTTTTAAAGACGGGTCCGCCTACGTTTTCGGAACTTCCGTTAATTACATTAACCTTCTTTATGATTTATTTAATTATAGTATCTATTGTTTTAATATATTTTTACCCTAAATTGTTAACTTATCCCAACTTATTTTATTTTGTATTTTTTATTTACAAATTCAGTTTCAAGTATATCAGTGGATAAGATTTGAAAAAAATATGTTACATCATACAATATAATTCGTTAATTATAAGTTATAACATAAGCACTCAGTATCAAGCAGTATAGTATATTCGGCAAACGCATTATTCAAAAGTGGGTTTGATATTCTCTAATAGTTGACTGGATGAATGCAAACATAAGAAGACCTAGAATTATTAAATGTTTACTTCATAATTGTATACAGTGCCATACTGTTGACACATATTTCATTATTTTGGCTAAATTATAAAAAAAAAATTTTATATACAAAACAATACAAAAAAATTTTAAACAGTATTTGTATCTTTTCATAAAGTGCATATAATTATAAGTTATATATAATATATTAACATAAGCATTCAGAGTAAATACCACAATTATACTATAGATTTTTTTAACATATGTCAATTATAATAGTAAATAGTTGTATAATATTGTAATAATGTAGTTATTATAATTCACAGATAATATTCGTCGGAGTATAAAGTTAAATCTATGTACTATGGTATAGTTGTTATGGTATTTGGAACATACTACCTATACAGAACTATTTTTTAAATTTTTTTGTGTTTAATTGAAGACCGAGTCTAACTTGCTTGCGCAATGCTTCCATCTGGACCTATAGAATACTTACAAAGTCATAATTTGTAATCATAAATAATCATTAATAATAATATTAATATATAAAACAATAATGATATTAATAATAATAAATAAATAATAACAATAAAAATACAATAATATTCCATCCTTCGGTAATATTTATACATTATTGTTGATATGTAACATACTATTTGAATAATTTTATATTTTATAGTATATAATATACAATTTGATAGGTACTCATCTTAGAAATGTCAGTATGAAAGGAAAATTAATGCTTAATGCATATTTAAAGTAAAACACCAATTTTTTCTTATTATCATTCATTTTTATGACGCCCTCTAAATTCATTATACTTTGGACGCCCTAGGTCGCTTATCTCATTTGTCCTCTCCCTCTTTATGACGGCTATGCTCGTATACAATGAAGAATCAGAATATCTGAACAATTATGAATTTACGATTTATTAATATTTAGGTATAAATCTCATAAAACATTTATTAATGATAAAAACAGCAGGCGTCTATTACATATACATTTTTATATGCAGTATTCACGTTCATTACTAATATCGTTGACTATAAATTGATTATAGTCTATAATAATTTGTATATTTAATCAGAAAATAATGGTTCAAAATATACTACAAGTCAATGTTATCTATGAATTATTATGACGCTCGTTATTAGCAATAATACAATACTACTTATATTATTTTATAATTATACTCTTTTACAGTTAACAATTTTATTTTAAAAACAAAATGTTATACTATTCCAAATGGTACGTTAAAATAATTGAGAAATAAATAATGAGAAACATAATATAATGTTGACATGTTATTTTCTAAATATTTAACTTATATTAACAAGTACCTGTAATATGTTGGTAATTAACAAATATTATAAAATTAATTAATTTTTGTTTAAATATGTGTTTTTTCTAAGATTATCGCTAAATTAATCTATATGTAAAATATGTTTGCTCTCAAGTCTAGAAAGTTGGGTATTTTATTTATTTATTATGCTTACCGATTACCGATTACTATGTAGACAATAGGGTATTGGATATACTGTTGTACACTAGTAGACTGTAGTTGATATAATTCTATATGGATTTTTCGTCTGTTCACATTTAGAATTGAATTGGATTATCACATTACTAATTGAAAATGTATTTATGAAATATAATATTTCTTCTGATCATTGCGAATAATTCGTTTTGGGCATAATTTGCATATAATACAGAATGAACGTGTATTATATTATTTGTTAAAGGATTCAGTAGAGAGATGAATAATAGGTATGGTATTTTCGACAAGCACGAATGACATTATGACGATCGGCTAACTGTGGTTACGCAACTCCAGTGTCGAGTCATACCGCAGCTACTTTTAATGGACAGAGCCTAATATTATTTATATAGATGCAATCGGTCATTATATCACGCGTATTTGATGTATAGATTTATGCCTTGTTATTGATACGTGATAAACATTTCAACAGCTTAAAGGAGTTATTGTGGACGATTCACTACACAAGATCTTCGAAGCTACCGTGCATTTCGATACGGAGCTCCAAGAGTTCCGGACCCATGGTGGCGTGATTAAGGGCAAAGATAAACAGCACCGCGAGGTAACAGCGCCTACAGTTATGTGGGTCAAAGCCTTGGATGTATTATTGGACCGATTACAGGTGTGCGGTGCCGATTTGAGTACCGTTGCTGCAGTCTCTGGTTCCGGACAGGTAAATATAATATTTTTTTTTCATCGGATTACTATATACAATCGATGATTAAACAATTATTACAATGTATATTTTGAATCAATAAGTAATTATAAAAAAACATAAAAAATAAGCGATACGATGACGATTACGAGGATTACGTTACTGGCGATAGAAATGAACTATTTTAAGTGTCTTCTAACTGCCTTTACCAATATTCATTTTTCGTACAAATTTGACAGTTGACATTGGTGCTCGAAAAATTATATGTGAAAAAAAGGTTACTTAGATTTTACCATAATACTCGATTTCTTGAATTTAAGATATTTTAATTCAGTTTTGTTTCGTTATCAACTGCTTTAATTTTATAACGTGGTCCTGCTTATGAACTAAGAATAGAAACTAAAAACTGTAATACATTTTGAACAGCAACACGGAACGGTTTATTGGACAAATGGTTCTGAAAAGACGCTGAAGACCCTTAATCCGTCTGGGTTTCTGCACACACAACTGGCGTCATGTTTTTCCATAGTTAATTCTCCGGTTTGGATGGATTCGAGTACGTCTAAACAATGTAAGAACCTCGAAGATGCTGTCGGAGGACCACAGGTTAAGTATTAAAACGCAACTGATGGCAGTAGTAAGGAATGAATCGATATTTACTATTATGATTTATTTAATTTTAGCAATTGGCTGATTTGACCGGATCAAAAGCGTATGAGAGATTCTCGGGGCCACAAATCGCTAAAATAGCTGAAAACAAACCAGGAGCCTACCAGAATACAGAAGTTGGACAATTATTTAAGCATGTTAATTTATATTTATTGGTTTACTCAATTTATTTCAATCATATTTTTAGAGAATATCGCTAGTCAGCAGTTTCGGATGTTCGTTATTTCTCGGCGCTTACGCGCCAATTGATTGGTCCGATGGTTCTGGGATGAATCTTTTCGACATAAAAACTAAACAGTGGTCGAAAACGTGTTTAGAAGTAATTTTATGCCATACATATTGATTTGTTTGAAATATTTCTAAAGTTTTGTTGTGTGTTTTAGGCTTGTGCACCGGGACTGGAATCCAGATTAGGGTCAACTGTGCCATCGAATACTGATTTGGGTCCAATTAGTAATTATTATGTAGAGCGGTTCGGATTTAATTCTGAATGCAGAATTATATCATTCACTGGAGATAATCCAGCGTCCTTGGCTGGCCTATGTCTAAGCAAAAATGACATAGCCATAAGTTTAGGCACCAGTGACACTTTATTTTTGTCACTGGATGAGCCCAAATGCCTTGCAGAAGGACATGTCCTAGTCAGTCCAATAAATAAAGATGCGTACATGGTTCTACTGTGGTAAATACTCATAATATACATTAAAATATTTATAATGAGTACACAATAGTAATAATTTGTACAATGGCAATTGTGATTTCAAATTTATAAATAAAATATGCTATGTAATCATGAAAATTTATAATTTATAACTAAGAATTATAATAAATCTTTAAATGAATTCATAAAATTAGTATTAAATAAAAAATAAATAATATTAAGTGATAACATTCTAAAACTGTTTATTTTCTTATAACTTATTGTTCTGATAAAAATTAAGTAAGAATACGGTTTGAATTCAAATAATAGAAATAGTTATATTTTTCAATTAAATTTATAATAATTGTTATTTTCTATACATTATGAACGTTTTAAAGTTTCAAAAATGGTTCATTAACCCGTGAGAGATTGAGAAATCACTATGCAAATGAATCATGGGATCATTTTAACACTCTTTTGGAAAGAACTCCCAGAGGAAATTTTGGATACTTAGGTCTTTATTATGATGAACAAGAAATCATTCCATGGATACAGGGTGACTATCGTTTTGACAAAAATGATGAGCCTATGGACAGGTTTCCTAGTCGAGAAATTGAAATCAAAGCATTAGTTGAAGGTCAGTTCATTGCTAAAAGAGCACATGCTGAACATTTAGGATTCAACATAGGTTTGTATAATGTAGCATTTATATCGACCATAATGAAAATTGTAATAAATAATAATTCAATATAGTAAAGTAACTAATACAACTAGTATAAAAAAATAAAATTAAAATAATTGTAAACAGATGTTAATACAAGGATCATAGCTACAGGAGGTGCTTCAACCAATAACACAATACTACAAGTTTTATCTGATGTTTTTAATGCACCTGTTTATACACAAGTTAGTGTATTAATTTAATTTTTCTTTGATGTTTAAAAATGTTAACTGTCAATAAATTCAATGTCAGGAAGCTGCAAATTCAGCAGTTTTGGGTGCTGCTTATCAGGCAAAACACGGTTTGGTTCAAAGTAAAAATAAGGATAGTAATGATGCATTTCAGATAGTAATCAATACCATTCCACCTCCTAAATTAGTATGTTCACCTCATAAAGATGCTTATGAAGTAAGTCAAAAAATGTAAGACATATTTGTACAAGTAGTTTCTAATTTATTGTTATTATTTTTAGATTTATACTCCAATGGTTGCACGGTACAATAAGATTATTAAAGATATATTGCCTGACTGTAAAATAAGAACATAAGATTCATATTGAAACACGGTTAATTATACAGTTAAATTATGTTGTTGATACTTAATTAAAATTAAATTTTATATGATATATATAGAATTTATTAATTTTTATATTGCTTACAGAAACCTAAAAATTCTTATGTTGGTTTACAATTACTTTTTACGGCCACCACGTTCTTTCAATTGTAAATGAATAGTTGATCCGGGTCCTATATTATAATAAGCTAGTGTATTGGAATCTTTGAAGAACAAGCCCTAAAGAATTTTATCAAAGATTAGTAGACATATTATTTTTACAGATTAAACTTGTCAACTTACATCACATTGCAGCTTTTGTTTGCCAGGTGGCATCCCAGTTAATTCATGAATTTTCGTCTTAATTACAGCTACTGTATCTTGCAGAGGTAATGTTACATTTAATATTTGTCCATTAAGAGCCCATTCTGGTTTATCAGTAAGGATTGGCGTTGCAACATTAAACATAACTGGACCCTAAAATGTAATTTAATTAGATGATTTGGAGATAATTAGAAATATATTTCAATATATTTACATTAAACTTCATCATGAACTGTATTTCAGGCTCTAATGATTCTTCGGTCTTTTGTTTTTTCATAAGGGGTTCATCTTCAGCTATTTCAATTCCATGCTTCATTCCAGGCTAGAAAAAATTAAATAAAATAGAATAAATGTTAAAAAAAAAAATTCTTAACTATTACAAATATAAGATGTACATACTAGACCCTGAGGCAATGGTGGTTGCATCATTCCTCTAGCAGCACCCAAAAATGGATTTGGAGGCATTTGCTGTTGCATGACTTGATAAGCTTGAGGTTGTGGAACTATAACATATAAGATTCATTTAAATTAATGATTATTAGAGAAAAATAAATTGTTCACAGTAAAATATTGTATCAATTATCTACTTACTACATATACAGTCATGATAAATATTCTAAATACAAAATAGGTACAGTGCATGTTTTAACAAAACTGATTTATACTCAAATGTATTACCATTTTTTATTTTTATTTAAATTAATATCAAAAGATTACTGGAAAGATAAAGATAAATGGAAATTATTTATCAAACCAACACTTATTAAGTAAATATAAATAATAAATTATCAAAAATAGAATTATTATACTAAATTTAAACTTTATTTACATTAAAAAGAAACTGCAATGTCAATAACTATCCCAACAGATTAATATATGTAACCAGTAAGTTATTCACATACCACACAGTTAGCCATAAGAACTCATCAATTTTTTTTTTTAATAACTTTGAGATTAAATCAATTTCAAATGTATAATTTCTACTCAGAGATTGACACCATAATGTATATTATTCCAAAATATTACATCATAATAATTAAACACTCAGTGGAAAAAAAATCAAGTGTAACATTATACATAGTTATATTTTTCTATCAATGGTTTCTTTTTAACTCTAGTAGAACATAGTTTTTACTTTTTAGAATTTAAAACTTTAACTAGTAAATCATTACAATAAACTTACCCATCATTTGTTGCTGTTGCTGAACCATCATCATAGGTTGAGATTGCATAATATTAGGAGCATGTGGCTGCATCATTGCATTTTGCATATTACTAGCCATAGACATTTGAACGGAAACAGCTTGAGAAGTTGGTGGATGCGAAATAGTTACATTACCTGACACAGGTTTAGGTCCAATTTTTTCTTTTTCATCATCATGAATCAAACCTTTCACTTTGTGTATCTGATGTATTTGATCTTCTAACGTTATATTAGCTCGAGCTGCACGAGTTGCAGCTTCTACACTAGAAGTGTGACCATCCCAAGTAGCCTAAAAAAAATGTATTAGTTGCTGTTTACTTCATATGTTTTGTTACTTTATACCTTATCATCTTTTCTAGTTTCTTCTTCTCCAATTTTTTTACCAATAGCAGTTTCTTCAACGCCAACACCAAATATATCAGTACGACGTTCAGCCAATTGTTTTAAACTTGCCTCAATAGCAGCTCCTAGATACAAGATAATTTAATACACTAAATATTAAAAAAAAAAAATCAAAACACAGATAATTATTACCTGGAGCATATACTGATTCCTGGTTCATTTTATCACTAATGTGTTTGTCTCGTTGTTCAACCCAACGAGGATCCAACAATCCAATTCTCATATGTTCTTGAACTTTACTAGCAGGAATCTTCTCACCAGTAATTGGAGATATTAAATATTCCTCTGGAGGTGCTTTAACTGGCGCTCGAACAACTATAAATATTATGTTCATTAAAGTACATCTTGGAATAAAAAATTTAATGCTAAAAAATTTAATTTTACTTTGTTTTGGATTATATCCTTTTTTGACAATAACTTTTTCTGGAACAGGTGGCTGAGTCATTTGGTTCGAACGGCTATCAGTTTTGGAAACACCAGGTGGTAAATCACCATCTTCATCACTAGATGATTCATCCATGTCTTGAACCTATTTTTATTTAAATGAATAAATAAATAAAAATATAATATAATTAAGAATTTTACTTGATTGTTGTCTCTACTAGATTTTTCTTCACCAGGAACTCTCAGTTCACTTTCTGGTACATACATCCTACTACTGCCACGTTTTTCCATTTCATCATCACTGTCAACTTGCATATTGTCTTCTCCATCACTCATTTCAACAGTTTCTTCTCCATTATCCACACGCTCTTGCATTAATGTGCGTACACCAACTTGATCAGGAGTAGTTGGTGGAGGGAAATTTCCAATCTCACCATACTGAAAGTCCACAGTTTCAACAACAACAAAATCATGCCAGTCAATTTGAGCATAGGCCACTAAAAAAATGTATAAACTGTGTAACATTATTTAAACCACTAGTAATCAAGTAGAAACTTACATCTTTCTTTTTCTATAAGCTGTTCTTCTTTTCTTCGTAAAGCATCTTGATGTTTTTGCCATTCAGAACGATACTTGACATCCTCTAGAATTTTTTGACGATTATAACTTTCTTCTTTTAAAACTTTCATCAGATCTTTGGGAGGCATCAATACCTTAGTATACTGTTCAAGAAGTTTTGTAAAATATTGGAATAATGAATGTTGTGGGCGTAAAAAGTCAAATTGGAAATTACGTTGTTCCCTTGCCATCAAATTAGTTAAAAATTGTCGGCCATTGCGAGCAACAAATAGTGCTGTCAGCTTTACTATGTCTCTAAAATTTCAAGAATAATCAGTTAATATTGAAAGATATAATTAAAAATTTCTGAAGTAATACATACAAGTCTAAAGCTGAAATTGATGGAGGATCAGCTATAAATTCAAACTCTTCAGGTGGCTCTTTTGGAACAAATATTGCTTCTTGTACTTGTTTTAGAAGTTCTTGCTGTTTGAGTTGGGTGGCAGTTGATACACTTTTTGTTTCTTTTGGTGGTAAAGCTGGTTCTTGTGCTAAATAAAATAACAAATATAAATAATATTATTATGGATAAATCGTTAGTCCAACAATAAACAAAACAAGCACTCACCAGCTTTTTCCCTTAGATCCTTAACTTTATGTACATAGTAAGCATGGTAGGGATCACCTTGGGTAAGAAAATTAAATTTTGGATTGCCCAATTCATTTTGACGAATACGAGACTCAAATTCTGGTCCATTTCTTGCCACAAAACTTGCAGTTTTATCAACAATATCTTGATTAAGATATAGTTAAGGAACTATTTTAAATTAAGAGCTACATACATAACTTCAAACTTAGAAATGATAACTCAGATATTATAACTCCACTAACAACACTTACCAGAGAGCTAATCAGGAGGTTTATCTAGCTATTCCAACTGATAAAATAATAATAAATAAAATCATAATAAAATAATTGAGAACAAAAATAGAATATATATGAATAAAGAGACATCAAACAGCTACAACAGTTAAATATAATAGTTAATATATATATATAGATAGTCAATAATATAATTAATAGTTAACGTCAAATATTTGAAACAAAACATAATTTTTCTGTGCAATAAAACTAAAATCATAATTTAACATGTTGGTAACTATGAGGGCGCTCAGGTTTTTTGACCATTCATGCTTTTGTGTACTTTTATTTACAAGTTTATAAAAATAAATTACATAGATTTTGCATCAAACACAAAATATACTGAAATCTCAAGTACACTCATGGTACACCCAAAAGTTTTTTAATAAATGAATTTGTAGCAAACGTGTTAAATTTAAATTAAACAGTAATAGTTATGTGCCAAAGGATACTCCTTACTTCAGGGGGTGGATAAATAATTCCTATAGTAGGAACTTCTTCAACACCTTCGGGCATCTTGAAAATTTTAATAAACTATTATTTTAAGATGAAAAGATTATTATGCAAAACACTTGTTTTAATATTGTCAACGGTAATGATAATGATATTTTGAAAGATTTTGTTTAAGAAATATTTTACATTTTAACGTGATTAATCCACAGAATTGAGACGCATCCAAAACATACAACAAACAATATTGTTATCTGATTATCGTATATTATAAATAATATTTTAAGGTTATTGAATAATGGTATACACCAAGAATACCAAACTACATTATCAATTGATAGACATCGACTCGTTATCATTACCATATTAATATTCTTTGTCCTCGCCTATGTAAGAATTTCATTTTATTCCAATAAATACTTATAGAAAAGTTTCCCGAATCATTAGTATTAACTCATAACATTTATAGTTATACTTTTTGTTGATCAGAAATCATTAAGTAAGTTTTACAGTGGTTGCGGACGTGTACCAAGCTTTCAGTTGATTTTATTTTCAAGTGGTCTGATTTTGGTAGCTACAATAACTCGGCAGCCTTATTCGTATTTAAAGATTTATGTAAGTAGATTGTTATAGCTTTACACCCCATTAGATTTCACAGTGATGGAATAAATATTCTTTAGCCGATTGATTTCAATTTTTATTACAACAGCATAGCTAGTCGCGAAATCGATATATGCACTACCCTTGACTTCTATTATCAACTTGCTTAAATCTATAACACTATTGTTTTGTAATTTATTTTGTCTTCAACACTTAATTTTTTTGTTCTTTTATATTTTCATATTATTTGTAATTAACACATTTTATTTAGTATTATTTAAAATTTATTAGTACCATGGTTATACTCTTTCAATATTATACAATAATAATATTATATTATATATTATATTATATTATTATTATATTATATAATATTTGTGTAATATGATAAAATAATTTTTAATTTATCACATACGTTGACAACCATCTGCTATTAGTTATTTATGTGTATTGAGAACAAGTAATATAATTGAATGTTGTATTATTGACTTAATTTGTAACTGTGATAATGAATTTGTTTGTTATCCTCTACATTAGATACTTATATTATTTTAGTATTGTCATATATTTTATTTGAATGGTGGCAATATTATTATTAATTTTTATTTAATTAATTAGTCATGATAAATTGTTAACTTAAATTATTCTTAATTAAGTACCTATTTATTTATTGTATTAAAAAGCATTAGCTAAACTTTCAATAGCTTACTAATTAAAAATATGACTTTTATGATTATTACAACCTAATTAAGCCTGTAATTTAATGGTACTATTGTTGGAATGGTACAGGTTTATTTTTGAATCATTATTGATTTATTAGATATCCTATTTTTCATATTATTCATATTTAACTTTCAATAATCCAGAAAATTAGTAGATTGATTAGAATTATGCTTAACATTTCAAAAGCTTAAACTACGTGCCAAGTGTGTGGATATTAGACTAAAAGTACAGTAAAAACTTAACTAAACTTATTACACTCATTCATGGCAGACTTGATTGTTATGATTAAAGCTTAATAACAATTAGAAATTTTATTTTTTTAGAACACTGTAAACTGTATCTCAGTTTTAACATTGATGATAGTTATAAAACTGTGTTTATTCAATTTTAATATGTATGAATTGATGTATATAAATTTTTTTTTTCTATTCCATATACTATACTTATAATACTAATATTTATATGCTTAACATGATAAGAATGGTTGAACGATAAATACTTTCAATTATTTAAAAAAAAAAAAAATTATTAAAGTACATTAAAATATTAGATAATAACTTACTATTCTTAGTTCAAACCTCATATAAGGTATACTATAATTTTTCAGTTATAAGCTTTTAGAAAATTTGTATTGTAATTCATTAAATTAGATAACTTTAAAAATTAATATATAAATATTTTTAATTATTATAATTAATTTTTCAAATAATTTATTTTTTACATTCTTTAAACAGACAAAGACTTATTTTATATAAGCATGTTTTAATTTAATTTTTAAATATTTTATTGTATTTAAATTTAAGTTTAAATTATACAAAAATAAAATTGAGGATTAAAGAACATTAAATCAATAAGAATCAAATTATTAGAATATTATTATAAATTTAGTATAAATTTTTAATATATATTAATGATAAATTATATTTTAATTTTTTATTAATCATCACTATTACTGATATGTATAATTCATCTCTATAAATTTATTTTGTTGTTTTGTTAAGTTACAAACAAAGGAAGTTATTCTCATTGTTTGTGTTATTTACTCATGATAAATATTTGTATTTTCTGTTTTAGTAAAACATTTGATTAAGATGGGCTCTTTCTTGTTGTCATCATCATTTGACACAGATGTCGAAAAAGCAACAAGTGGCACTAGTACAACAGAAGATTGGGCTTTAATCATGGAAATATGTGATAAAGTTGGAGCCTCATCAGTTAATTCTAAAGACTGTTTTAAGTCAATAATAAAAAGACTGTATAATCCAGACCCACATGTTGTCTTACAGGCAATTACACTTTTAGATGCTTGTGTTAATAATTGTGGAAAAAATTTTTTACTTGAAGTGGCTTCCAGACATTTTGAACAAGAATATCGTAAACTACTTGCTAAAAATTTACCTTTAAAAGTTGTTGATAAATTAAAATCTCTTTTGAAAAAATGGGCAGAAAATGAATTTAAAAATGATCCGCAGTTAAATCTAATACCTTCATTATATTCTAAATTAAAACAAGAAGGAGTAGACTTTTCATCGACTTCAGATACAAGTTCTGTGAAAGGAGCAAAATCAAAAGATTTAGTATCTTTACAAGAAGTTGATGACATTGCCAAAGCAATTGAACTAAGTTTATTGGAAAATGATCGTTCTGCACAAAAAAAACCAACAGTCGAAACTGATAGACGAACTTATTCAAAAAAAGTAAAAGCTTTGTATGACTTTGAAGCAGCTGAAGATAATGAATTGTCGTTCTCTGCTGGTGATATAATTTATGTACTCGATTCTTCTGATCCCAATTGGTGGAAAGGATTTACAGACAAACATCCTGAAGGTTTATTTCCAGCAAATTTTGTAACAACGGATTTATCGACTCCGAAAGAAACAACTGAACGAGTTAATACAAAAAAGTCATCAGTTAAACACTCTGCAGAAGATTATAAATCTGTAGAAATCGATGAAAATAAAATTGACTGTTTGCTTCAGTTGTTACGTGAAGCTAACCCAAAAGATGACAGTACAGACACTGAAGAGATGTTCATATTGGAAGCACAAGTGAACGCCATGGGACCAATGATTGAGGCCCAACTTGAACAACTTGATAAGAAACATTCCCAACTTACACAACTCTGTACCGAACTCTTAGAAGCAGTGAAGTTGTATAATATATTTATGAAGGAACCTGTGGCTTATGCACCCAAATCACAGCCAGAATCAATACAACCTCCCACTATGTCTCCACAGCATATGATTCACTCACCACACATGCAAATGTATAATGGCATGATGGCTAACTATGCACCTCTGCCAGTTGAACATTACATGCCTGGATCACAGTATCCAGTTAATCCAGGTCATATGATGCCTGGGCCTAATATTGGGTGTCCAATTCATGAGCAGCCACCCTATCAAATTCCCAATATGCAAAATTTGCCCAGCTACAATCAATTATATGGCCCAGGACACAATGCACCATCTGATTCATTACCCCAAGGCATAAACTATGTAACACAATCTCAACCACCAAAACAATAATAAAAAACAAAACATTATTATGTTTAAATAATTTATCCTCGCTTATATGATTTATTTTAGCTGCATATAAAATATATTATTTTGATTTTTTAATATTTAGGTGTATAAATTAAATATGACATATATAATTATTAATTGCTCATTGTTACCTTCAAATTTGTTTTATTTTGTATAAGTATTTATATATACTTGTTTATATATATTTATATATGATTTATTATATATATAAATATATATTTGTAATACTTAAAAAGAGCTATGGTTCACAAATATATGGTTTATGTCTTTTATCTTTATAGTTAATGAAATAAAATATACTTTATCCTTTAAAGGTCCATTTAACAAGTGTTTTCATTGTTCTGTTTAAAAATCCTTCTGTTTCAAGTATATGATCCTTCATTTGTATAGAACAATGTTATTCAACTGGTGGGATACGACCCAAATTTGGGTTGCGTGAAGTCTATTATATATTTAACATTGAGCATAAAAAATTTAAAAATATTGAGTTTTGTATATCTTTGACTCGCAGCATTGCGATTTCTGTGCAATAAAGTTAAAATAAAATAATCTGGATTACTGGATACCAAATAAAACATAATATTACTAACATTACAGAAACCAACAATTTTCGTATAATTATAAGATAATAACCAAAAAAATCATTTTGATTATACATAAATTAGAATTGACCATACACACTAAAACTGTTTTAAGTAAATTTATTGGTAACTATGAACTCATTCACTAATCACTGTTTAATGATTACTGTGTTTGTACTATGGTTATTATGGTAAATAATTTAAATCTTAAGTCATCTATGAGCAGCTATAGCCAACATAAATTGAAGATGAAAACAGGCGCGAGATATAGGAGCGAGTGACTCGATTTTCTTCAACTATTTGGAAGACTTGAAAAATTCAAAAATGACCGAAATTAATGCACACTAATAACTTTATTTCCGTAATAAAGAAATATTATTATTATATCAAGACAAATTTATGATTGGAATAGTTATACTTCTGATCGAACTCTTGTAAAGAAGTATAAAGAAAAGCGCACATTATAGGTGGTTTACATCCCTGGCTTCGCATGGCTACAAATGTACAAAATAAAATATTAAAAATCAATCAATATATTTTATGATATTAAGGTACTACTATAGTATAATATATTCTACATTATAAATGTTGTAAATTTAATAATGAAATGAACATTTGAAACCTATAAACTATATACATATTTATTATAAATACGGTTCAATTCCTTATGAAAAAAAAATAATAATAATAATAAACAATTAAAAATCTATATGTACAATGGCAAGATGATTTATTAATATTAGGTACAAGGAATAATCCGACGTACACTGCATTTAATATCTAGAGTTTTTGATTCTTTGTCGCTGTGCGTTTGAACACCGTGGTATACCTACGAATACGCGTAATGGTAAACTATATACAATTGTATCGGTCAAATGATTGTTCGCGAAATCGTTGCGGGGAACGCAGTAGCAAAGGCGCAAATAGTGTTTGAAATTTGGGAGAAGGGCTAAAGCTCAGTGCTGTACAGGACGTTTTTACATTGTAACAAAACATGTAGTAAAATCGTTTGTTTTTTGGGGGAGGGGCTTAGCCCCACCAGTCCCACCCTCATATTTGCGCCTATGCGTAGTAATGGTAGCGGTCGACAGCGGAGTCGCCGTCGATTATCTCATGCTCATCGCGTACTCCTTCTCGTCACCGGCGTACGGTATGTAATAGGGATTATGCGTGTACGGCGCGGGCGCGTTCAACGTGTTGTACGACTGTCGCAACGGCGACGACACGGATGACAGCTTGTGCGCGGGCAATGTGGCGTAGCTGTTGCTGTAGGACGCGGCCGACATCGGGTACATGTGGCCGGCGCCCAGCTGACTGTGCACCTTCGGACACGGGCACGACTGATTTGTGCAATGCATTGGGGCGCCAAGTACGGGCGGTAGCGCGTTCATGTGCGAGTTGTACTCGGCCGTGGACAGCCGTATGCGCACGATGCATATGATGATCACCAGTATAGCGATGAACACCACCACGCCGGCCACGATGCCGATGATGAGTGTGTCGTCGTTGGTGACGGTCGCGGCCGCGGCCGCCAGATTTGGTGGCTGCTTGCCCGCCGCCCCCGATGTCTTCTGTTGCAGGTTGGGCGCGGCCGCTATGGCCGGTGGCAGCGACCATATGATGTCCGGCTCCGTGGTGGTCGCGCGCTGCTGCGTCCCCTTGGGCGGCGCTTTGACGATCGCACTGCCGGGCGTCGCGGGCGCGGCCGTTGTCGTGGTGGTCGTACTAGTGGTCGTGGTCGTCTGACGACTCACGTCGCACGTCAGATCGTCGTCTGGTATCTCGATGAGCAGGTTGCCGGCCACGAACGCGGGCGCGGAACAGACCAGGTCTAGCGCGAGCGGCGACCTGCGCAACGCGCGCACGTTGCAGTCGCAGTACACAGGGTTGGACCGGAGCCCGTTGAGCTTGAGTAAGCTACGCCGGTCGTCGAGCGCAGCCAGGAACTGCGACGAAAGCGTGGTCAGCTGATTGTCGAACACGTCCAGCTGGATGACGGACGACCGGGGCAACGCGATCAGCAGCGACGGTGGCAACGCGGTCAGCGACGTGTTCTGGATGCTGATGTACACCTGCCGGTACTTGAGGCCGGCCAGCGCTCCCGACGATATGGACGTGATCCGCTGGCCCCGTATGGTCAGCGATTTGAGCCGCGGGTTCATCGCGGCCGACAGCTGGCTGCCGATCGACGGGTCCTTAACCTCGATCTCCAGCGTTTCCAGCGACTGCAGGTAGTTGAGCAATCCGGTCACGTCCAGATAGCCCAACTTCGGGAACTCGTACATCTTCAGTTCGACCAGGTTGCCGAGGTTACGGAACGCGTTCTTCTCGATCCGGTCGCATTCCGTTAATCCGTTAATGCGTAACGATCGCAGCGATCCCAGTTTGTCCAAGTCCCCTTGCACGATGTTCAGTATTGGATTCCAAGAGATGTCAACCAACTGCACTTGGTTCAGCTTCGGCCACGCACCACGCAGTGACGCCAAGCTCCGCAACCGGTTGTGCGACAGGTCCAGCTCCTCGACCAACGTGGCCCGGTCGAATATGTGCTCATCCAACGCGTCGATTTCGTTGTGTGACAAATTGAGTTTTCGCAAGAATGGCGTCTCCAAAGCGGAAACGGCTTTTATACCGGTGCCCGCCAAGTTCAGTTCGCGCACCGTCTTCGGCTCGCTCAGTATGTTCTTGATGGTCTCTGGTGAGAGGCGGTTGAACGACAGGTCCAACTTCTTGATGTTCACCAGTATGATATCATCCGGTTGCAATTCCGTCAGCTGGTTCGAGGACAAGTCGACCGACGACAAGAAAAAGTATTGCTTCTGTAAGCTTTTCAGCGGGGCTATGGTAAACTTATTTTTGGCCAGGTTGATGTTTTCCAGAACTTTTAATCTTGTACGATCGAAAATCAAATCGGGTAATTCTGTCAAATTATTGTTTTCCAAATCCAAATATTGCAATCGATTTAGCCCTTGAAAAGTTCTCTCTCCGATTCGTTCCAAGTTATTGTTGGCCAACATTATGTTTTGTAATTGAGTAGAATTATGAAACGTTGTCTCGCTTATGGTGTCTATTTCGTTATCGGCCAAGTTTAATTTTCTTAACCTTGGTAGGCCTGCGAAATCGAATTCTTCTAATGTTTTGAGACTATTTTTGCTTAAATCTACCTCTTGTAAATACGCCAAGCCAGCAATCAACTCAGAGGGGAAAAAGTTGAATTTATTATTAGACACTTTGATTTTTTTAATAGTGGGATGTACTTTAAAAGTAGACGGAAACAAATAACTAATTTGATTGTCAGACAAATCAATTTCTTCAAGCGGAGTCCCATTGCTTCGTTTCGTTATGAAGTATTCACCTTTGAATGATGATAATTTATTTTTTGATAAATTTACATATTTAACAGAAGATAAACCCATAAATGAGCCGATTCGTATATTTGTTATTTGATTTTCTGATAAATCTAATGTAATTAGATTTGATAGGCTTTGAAACATAGTTTCTGGTAATTCAGTAATACCATTGTTTTGTATGAAAAGGTGAGTAAGTGATGATGTTTTGAAGAATAACTCCGGACTTAAAACTTTTATACTAGTAAAGCTGATATCTAGTTTTTGCAGTTTCGTTAAAGGATGGAATACGCTTACAGGTATTAAAGCCAAATGTGAATTATGGCTCAGGTTTAAACTTAACAATGAAGACATTACAGTAAAAGTGTGTCTAGGAATTTCTTTCAGTTGATTGTATGACAAATCAAGAGTTTTCAGTTTTTGAAGATTCAATGGTTCTGATGAAATTGAAGCGATCCGATTGCCTTGAAGATTTAAGTGTTCAAGCGTATCTTCTAGGCCAGAGAACGTCGATAGTTCTACGGACAGCAATAAATTTCCGGACAAATCAAGTACTCTTAAATGTTTAAAATCCTAAAAAAAAAAAAAAAATTAAAAATATTAAGTAATAGTATTTTAGTTAAATGGAAATTTAAAAAATTATTATTATTTTTTTTTAATACGTACTTGAAATACATCTGGTGGTATTTCTCTAATGACGTTTCTACTCAGTCCTAGTTCAGTCAAGATTTCCGACAGTCCACGCAAAATATTGGACGAAAGCGCAGCAATTCTATTGTAATCCAGGCGCAATTTGTTTAAACGTGGTAATTTACTAAGTGCTGTTGCAGGTATTAATAATATATTATTATCTTCTAAAGACAAAGATTCGAGATTTGATAAACCTTCAAAAGCATCATCTTCGACCTATTTCAATAAGCTTTTGTAAGTAACAGTTGAAAATTACATTTTCTTTGTCAAATTCTATACTTACAGTTCTTAACATGTTTACAGCTAAGTTTAAGGTTTTGAGTTTTTTTAAACTTTTAAAAGTCCCCGGTGAAATATTTCCGATATTATTTCTGCTAACATCAAGAACTTCCAATGAAGTTAATTGCGTGTTCTCTAATTTCTGAAATAAATATAATTGACTATGTATTGTAATATTTAAATTTTTTATCTTAATATCACAAGCACTTGTACACAAAAAAATTTACCTGTATTAAATTTGAAGATAAATTCAGTACTTTTAAATTATCAAATTTTTGTAAAGCAACTAAAGGAAATTCAATTATAAAATTGTTGGAGATATCTAATTTTTCTAATTTTTCCGCACCTAAAATTAAAAAAATGCATAGTTAATTTATTAGCTAACCTTATGATATTTCTAGTTATATATTACCAGAAAAAATATCACTGTTAAACTTGGACAAACGATTCTCGGATAATAAAAGTTGTTTTAACACCGACAAGCCTTCAAATGCTCCTATCTCAACATTATTTATTCTGTTGGATGTTAAGTCTATTACTAATAAAGACTTCTGAGAAAGAAAAGAACCTTGCTGTATACTATCTGAAAAAAGAAACAGTAAGTTATAAAAGTTTAACTGGTAAATTTCTTTACGTCGAAATGTGTATGTAATACCTATTCGATTATTTTTTAAAGATAATTTCCGTAATGATTCTGGACCATTCAACGATAAACTTGGAATAAATTCTAGTCGGTTACCGTCTAATTTCAGTTCCTGTAAAATTATAACAAAACATAAAAGCACATATTATATTTCTTCAGTATATAATTTTTAATTACACGTTACCTCTAAATGTACACAGCCCTTTAATATGCCTTCCTCCAAAGAAGATATTCTGTTTTCACTCAGATCCAATCGTATGAGCTTTGACAATCCATGAAATTCGGTAGTAGAAAATATTGGGTTTAAAGTGTCGCCTAATAGATTACCCCCTAACCGCAGGTCTTCGATTGTGTTTTGTATAACACCGAACGATTTTTCGGATAATCGCCGGATCGAATTTTGTGACAGGTCCAGTTTGACTAGATGAAAACCCAAAGTCAATTCTACATCTATAGTAATGTTAATTATTATCAATATATACCCGTAGACGGAAAAAGTTGTGTGGGTACAGAATGGTGACCAGCGTTTCTTTGAGTGAATACCAAAACTGGTAGATTTTTTGGTAAGTTCACGTGGTCACTTGAATAGACTACACCATCACAATTCAACGCTAGGCCGCCGATCTGACTTAGTTCTTCGCAGACACACGGATATCGAAATTCCACTTTCAAATCTTCGCACAACGTAGAAGTAGATAAGCACGCGTTGAATATTATCAACAGTGTTATACACAGCACTTCCTTCCATCTGGTACGCATGACTAATCTACAGAAATAAAAAGTTACAATATTTTAAAAGAAATCGGTTGATGGCATTTAGTCGATAATTAGTATTAAATTATTGACCAATACATAAGATCACTCTGACATAATGTACCTTTCACTACGTTACTATAAAGCGGTTAGAGTTATTAAATAATTGATAGGTAGTTAAGGAACCAATGTAATGATAGCTTACTATAATCTAAACAAATATTACGTAAATTACTTTTTTTGGACCATAATAATTAGGAATACAGAGTTCTTGTTAATCACAATATCATGAAAGTTTTATAAAAATATTGAATGGGAAGCAATTTCAACAATAATAATACAAGAACATTTTATGATATTTTTGGCGAGGTAAAATATGAGATTTTAATTCTATACATGTTTAAAATATATTTTCACACTATCAGTTCTCACGTGATTATTTAATATTTTAATGTTATTATTTACATATAGGCACTACAATTTAACATTTTAAATTATATGTTTATTTTGATCATTTATGTATTTATTAAAATCGAACATTCGAGCTGCTTGAAATATAAAATAGATATTAAAGAATACCTCTGATCTGTCTTGTAATGCAAAAACTACAATATAGTACTTATATACCCTAATATGTTCAAAATACGGCAATATTTAGTTAATATACCTATTATAAAATATTCTAATGATAAAAATTTTTTTTCGAAAATGTATAATACGAGTATAATACTAGTATGCAATCATTTTTAATTTTAATAATATACTTACATACCAATGTCTATACCTATATTATAATTATAATTTAATGTTAAAATTAACTAGTTGTCCGTGTATTTGGACGATAAAATACCGGAATTATTGCTATTAATATAGTTGTAGTGAGTTCTCAAGTTATTTTATAGGTTAACAATGTGACTTAACAAAAATTGATTCTATACATTTACAGTGAGAAAAACATATTTACGTTATAACTAAACATTTTTAATATCGGGTTTTGGTTTTTGCATTGAAGTATTATATTGATATGTGTTTAAAATGTCTAAGAATTATGTTCTAAAATTATTTAAAAAAAAAATATATTTAGTGTGTGAGAGAAAATGTTATGCTTAAAAACAACTGAGATAATTTATTCATTTTAATTTTCCTAGATGAATATGTATACATTTTATCGATTATACATAAAATATTTTCAAAAGTTACTCATCCTAAAATAAATTTAAAATTCAAAATTCCAGACCTGAGATCCGTTAAAAAAACAACACAAGGTTTTCTTATGATTTTCATGTAACATACGTTCAATAATAAAAACAACATTTTGTATAAAATATATAAAATTACGTTCCGAGCATGGATAATAGCATAATTGTACAAATGGATTGGACTATACCGAAAGTAAACCGCATTTGCGGTAATTCTTCGTAAAATCAGAAACATTCAATCCATCGTAAAAAATTTCTGCATTAATAATATTATATCCTATACTTGGGTTTATATGCTGTAAATTGCACAACAAATATAGTAAGGTAGGTGTCTAAAAGAACGAGATAAAATGAATATGGTAAGTATATTATGTCGGTTAATCCATTTTCATATTAAAACCAATGATTTTAAGTAGCATGTTAAATCTGTGTTTATTTTTTCTGAACTCATCCATTTATGATCCGTTTCGAATGTAATTATTCGAAATTTTTTAGAAATTATCGAATGATCGACCCATGCGTTAAATAGGTATGTGTATACGATTACACTCAATAACTGTAAGGAGGCGTATAACGTACGTATTATAGATTAACAGTTTGAAGATTTAATGTATATTTTATTCGACGTATCTACTTTTTTTTTCTGTTAGGCATCATGGTGGATTGCGTACACTTCTATGACCGTGTAAATTTAATTAACGCTGATCTAAAATAACCTTTTTCCTCAAATGGTTGGAATTATTTTATTTTACTTTTTTACATTAATATCATTCAAAATTACCAAGAATAATACATTCCATTAATTCGAGTTCGCATGGAATTAGTAGTTAACTAATTTCACAGTAAGTTTTTTCGGCTTACTGTTTCATCAACCGAAGGTTCCCCACAGGTATATCTTATATCCTTACACCACGCCCTCTGATAATACACCTATTCTAACGGTAATGGGAGACGAGTCGCGGAATGTTGGATCGTTAAACACCGAAGCCGGTTGGCACAAGACGATGAATTTATGTACACTGGAGACATTTGTACTTGTACATACAGTTTCAACAAAAACATAAAATATGCTAAACACTAATTTACTGTGAAAATATGATTTTTTAACCCTACCGAGGTCATAATACTATAATACTGATAAAATAGTATAGTATATATTAGGTACACTAAAATAAGCTGAAAAGGTAAATCAATATTATTAAACTTGATTATATTTTAATACCTATTTAAGTATATAGAAAATATAAAGCAATCAAATTACTAGTGAATTGCAATTAATTCATCACGATTTTGTTAAATACAGAACATACGCGTTAAAATCTGATTTCATAATACTCTTAGCTATTTGTCTAACATATAGGCAATATTTCTTGTCTTGAAATAATCAAACTAATGGCCGATCGATTTTCTATTACATCTTGTATTAATAAAATAAACTCGTTTACAACATGTACCCATGAATAGAGAATAACTGATCATAGATAATATGTAACTCATAATACATCTATTCACTTTTACGGTGTGCAAGGTGTGTTGCTTAAATCTCGTCTTTAACAATATATTTTGTAGATCAATTGTTAAACGAGGCACGTATTTTTGATAATAATATAACAATATATTACATTAATCATATCACGAAACTGAATTATAGTTGCTAATCATGAACCTTATAAGGTATAAGGTCTATGCTGCTAATCGAAAAAAATATGTGATGATAACGTAATATTTACTGTTTCTTTGTAAATAATATACGGCACTATATACATTTATGTTATCTTCAAATTTCTTATTTTAAAGTCACCCACTATTACTTTATTATTTTATTTTTTTAATTATTCATTGAGTTTTAATATATTTTCACAGTGTTTTAAAATTAAAAATAATTCAATAACCAATAGTATTTTAATTAATGAATTGTAAATAAAATTGTTAATATTACACTGTTTAACTACACTTTACACTGATAAACTACGAGTTAACATTTTTAATTCATAATCGTACCATGATTTATCAAGGTTTAATCATTAGATAATATTGTGTGATAAATACCAATAACGAACTAATCCTATATTAATTATTATTAGCAAGTATGTAAAAAAATTATACAACTGTATGCTCATGAGCAATGGTTTGTAAATTTCATTTTCAGTATGTAACACTATTGATTTTATGATAATCCATTATAAAATCAAAAGTAGTTTAATTTGAAAAATAATTTAAAATAAGTGATTCGATAACTTTTTCGAAGTATAATAAATTGTTCATAATTTTGATACAACTTTGTATTCATTGTAAAACAAATGTGAATTTTTATATACAACCCAACTACTTAATAATCTATAACGCGTTTTATACGGATAAATTAATAATTCAAAATAACTAATTTTCTCAATTAATTATTTTTGCATAAGAAATAAAACATGTCATTAAAGACAGTTTTTAAATGTATACAGTCAGACACCTGTTAATGAATATTGTTTATACATGGACTACAATGTGAATGTTACTGATTTGTATCGTAAATTCTCAGTATTGAGTCAATGTCCTCTCAGTACTTCACGGACCATATACTGTTTATTGAACGCTTTGTATTCTAAACATACCTTATTTACCTACTATTCATTATAAGTGATTTCAAATTTAATGAAAAAATAAACTAGGGAAATATCTAGTATATCATAATTTTAAACTTACGCTGCTTTATAAATATATTAATTTAATAAATTATCAATTTAATTCCACAAGAATAAAAATTAAGTAATCAGTTAATATTTAACATATTCAAAACATAAATATATTTTCAATATAATATGTTGCGTCTGAGGCGTAGACACACTATAATCTAGATATATGGAATTGTGTATACCTACATGTTGATCCTATTATTGGTATATAATATTACTAAAAATAAGTATATTAATAAAATACCTACTTGGTGAGAAAGAATTTGACAATGTATATAATTGTTCCAAGAATTTTCATCAAATATTAAAAAATACTTTATTACTTATATACATACTATATACAATATAATAACTATATATTAAAGAACTCCAAAGATAAATTGTCTTAAAACATATTGAGTTTTTTTTATTTTTTGTATTAATCCAAACTAAAATAGTTCTATATTTTCTCATTTTTAATGAAAAAATTTTTATAATAGTAATAAAATTCCAAAACAAAGAAATGTATTCAATAACAGAAATTCGTTTTATGAGAAACGTAGTCGAATACCATATTCAAACAATCATTTTTGTATGATTTCAATGTTTCACAAATATTGGTCAAGGGTAAATGTTTTTTCTTGAAGGTTTTTCTGTTAGAAAATTTAATCTGATTTATACTATGGAAAAAATGAACAATAAATATTTTATATTTAGTTCAATATGCCTATTAGTTATTACATTATTATTGCTATTATACTATTTTATATAAACTTATATATAATATTATATATTTTATTGATTTAATTTCAATTGTTTTAATAGGTTTATATATATATGTGTGTGTAATTTTTTTTTTAAATGTAATTTATAATTTATCAATAATTTTACTACTCTTGGATACGAAAATAATTGTATGAAATATAAATTTTAACATTTATAAAAAACCAATTTATAACTAGATTCATAAAGGTTACATGAATTTAGTTATAATATACTTAATGAATTTTCGAAATACAATATTAATCGACAAAAATGATTTTACTTAAAGGAAATTAAATAAAATAGTTCATAGGTATAAAAAAACCAAAAATGAATTGTGATTGCTATAATGGGGATTTTATAGCAATTATATTATGTGGGGAATCGTG